CTTTCACCCTCCTTAAGTGCCTGCTGATCCCATCTGTAGCCAGAGGTCAGTGTTTCTGGTTGTGGAATTCCTGGAAGCAGAAGAAATGAAGATGCATCTGTAGGTATTCCTGGTGGGTGTGAGAGCTTTGTCTGTGTGACTATGAGGGCAGGCCTAGATCTGGTTCCTTCTTTTTCTATACCATCTCTGCATAGAGCTGGCACTGTGAGCACATGGCAGCTGTCACCAAGACAGAAGCTCATGGTCTCTGCTGCTAGAGTGCCTTTCCTCATGAAAACCTCCTCCTTGCAGAGCTTGCCTGTGTCCAGCTTGCCCTACCTCTATGTCCATTTTAACAATAGTCTCAGAGGTGTCTAGTGGGGATGCTGTCAACATAAAGAACCTTCCTGAATAATTGTTCATTTGGAGAGGTGGGAAGAAAATACTGTGAGAGGTGTGTTTAAGAAAAGTCTTTTTTTTTTTTTTTGCTAAAATATTTCTTTTTTATTTTATTTTTCTTTATTAATTACACTTTACTCACTTTGTATCCCAGTGTGGTTCCCTCCTTCCTCCCATCCCAATCACTCTCTTCCTCCACCCTCTGCATGCATGCCCCTCCCCAAGTCCACTGATAGGGGAGGACCCCTTTTCCTTCCTTCTGATCCTAGTCAATTAGGTCTCATCAGGAGTGGCTGCAGTGTGTTCTTCTGTGGCCTGGTAAGGCTGCTTCCCCCTCAGGGGGAGGTAATTAAAGAGCAGGCCAATCAGTTCATGTGAGACACAGTGCCTGTTCCTATTACAATGGAACCCACTTGGATACTGAACTGTCATGGGCTACATCTGTGCAGGGGTCTTAGGTTATCTCCATGCATAGTCATTGGTTGGAATAGCAGTCTCAGGAAAGACCCCTGTGCTCAGATTTTTTGGTTCTGTTGCTCTCCTTGTGGAGTTCCTGTCCTCTCCAGATCTTACTGTTTCCCACTTCTTTCCTAAGATTCCCTGCACTCTGCCCAAAGGTTGCCCATAAGTCTCAGCATCTACATTGATAGTCTGCAGGGCAGAGCTTTTCAGAGGTCCTCTGTGGCAGGCTCCTGACTTGTTCCCTCTTTTCTCCTTCTTCTGATGTCCAGCCTCTTTGTCTTTCTGGGTAGGAATTGAGCATTTTAGCAAGAGTCCTCCTCTTGATTAGTTTCTTTAGGTGTACAGATTTTAGTAAGTTTATCCTATATTATATGTCTATATGAGTGAGTATATACCATGAGCATCTTTCTGCTTCTGGGATAGCTCACTCAGGATGATCTTTTCCAGATCCCACCATTTACCTGCAAATTTCATGATTTCCTTGTTTTTTATTGCTGAGTAATATTCCATTGTGTAGATATACCACAATTTGTCATCCATTCCTCTACTGAGGGGCATCTGGGCTGTTTCCAGCTTCTGGCTATTACAAATAAGGCTGCTACAAACATGGTTGAGCAAATGTCCTTATTGGATATCTTTTGGATATATGCCTAGGAGTGGTATAGCTGGATCTTGAGGAAGCGCTATTCCTAGTTGTCTGAGAAAACACCACATTGCTTTCCAGAGTGGTTGTACAAGTTTACATTTCCACCAGCAGTGGAGGAGGGTTCCCCTTTCTCCACAACCTCTCCAGCGTGTGTTCTCTCTTGAGTTTTTGATCTTGGCCATTCTGATGGGTGTAAGGTGGAATCTTAGGGTTGTTTTGATTTGCATTTCCCTAATGGCTAATGAGGTTGAGCATTTCTTTAAGTGTTTCTCTGCCATTCGATATTCCTCTGCAGAGAATTCTCTGTTTAGCTCTGTACCCCATTTTTTAATTGGATTACTTGATTTTTGCAGTTTAACTTCTTTAGTTCTTTATATGTTCTGAGGACAGTATCCTTTGCTTTACAGAAGCTTTTCAGTTTCATGAAGTCCCATTTATTGATTGTTGCTCTTAGAGCCTGTGCTGTTGGTGTTCTGTTCAGGAAGTTGTCTCCTATGCCAATGAGTTCAAGGGTATTCCCCACTTTTTCTTCTAAGTGGTTCAGTGTGTCTAGTTTTATGTTGAGATCTTTGATTCACTTGGACTTTAGTTTTATGCAGGGTGGTAAGTATGGATCTATTTGCATTTTTCTACATGTAGACTTCCAGTTAGACCAGCACCATTTGTTGAAGATGCTATCTTTTTCCATTGAATGGATTTGGCATCCTTGTCAAAAATCAGGTGTCCATAAGTGTGTGTATTTATGTCAGGGTCTTCTATTCTATTCCATTGATCCACCATTCTGTTTCTATGCCAGTACCATGCAGTTTTTAGTATTGTTGCGCTATAGTACAGCTTGAGATCAAGGATGAAGATACCTCCTGAAGATCTTTTACTGTAGAGAATTGTTTTAGCAATTCTGGGTTTCTTGTTGTTCCATAAGGTGAGAATTTTTCTTTCAAGGTCTGTAAAGAATTGTGTTGGCAATTTGATGGGAATTGCATTGAATCTGTAGATTGCTTTTGGTAAGATGGCCATTTTTACTATGTTAATCCTGCCAAGCCATGAGCATGGGAGATCTTTCCATCTTCTGATATCTTCTTCTAATTCTTTCTTCAGAGACTGGAAAATTTTTTTATAGAAGTCTTTGACTTGCTTGGTTAGGTTCACACCAAGGTACTTTATGTCCTTTGTGGCTATTGTGAAGGGTGTTGTTTCCCTAATTTCTTTCTCAGCCCTTTTGTCCTTTGTATACAGGAAGGCTACTGATTTTTTTTTTTAGTTAATTTTGTGTCTAGCCACTTTGCTGAAGGTGTTAATCAGCTGTAGGAGTTCCCTGGTAGAGTTTTTGGGGCCACTCACATATACTATCATATCATCTGCAAATGGTGATACTTTGACTTCTTCCTTTCCAATTTGTATCCCCTTGATCTCCTTCAATTGTCTTACTGCTCTAGCTAGGACTTCAAGAACAATGTTGAAAAGATATGGAGAGAGTGGACAGCCTTGCCTTGTCCCTGATTTCAGTGGGAATGATTTAAGTTTCTCTCCATTGAGTTTGATGTTGGCTATAGGCTTGCTATATATTACCTTTACTAAGTTCAGGTTGTGCCTTGTATCCCTGATGTCTCCAATACTTTAAACATGAATGGATGTTGGATTTTTTGTCAAATGCCTTTTCAGCATCTAAGGAGATGATCATGTGGTTTTTCTCCTTCAGTTTGTTTATGTGGTGGATCACATTGATGGATTAAGGAAGGTCATTTTTTTAGACAAACGAAAAAACACCATGAAAAGTGTCATTGGACACTGGAGCTGAAAGCCAGCCTATGAACAAAGATTTCCGTCACTGTCTCCTTCCCTTTTGTAGCCTCAGTCCTGAGCTCAAGAGCATAAGAACCTTGTAGTGGGTTCTTCACCACTGGACTGGGAGTTCTGGCCTTGAGGAGCTGTTCTTGCCTAAGACTGTGGGTGGAGGGATTTCCCTGGCAATGCTGTTATGGCTTTCCTCATTCAGACAGTCACCTGGGCTTGAGAAGGGCTTGAGAGCAGAGGCCTGAGCTGATGTGTTAATGGACTCATGAAGACAAAATGGGTGTGTGATTTGAGAGTGGGTTTGTGTAAGTCAGCCAGGGATGCAGGAAACAAATTGAAACTCTGGATTCAGTTCCCAAGGGAATCATTCTTGTTGCCTTTGCGTCAGGCACCTGCTAGATTGGAGCCTTGTGTCTTTTAGACCTGTTCCAGGATATTCCACTAAGACTTACTAAGGGATTCTTTATGTAAAGCAGTTAGAATAGCTTTTCATATCAAAGAAGTATTATATTCATGGCCTTTGTTGAGGGATTTTCATAGAACCTAGAGGTGAAAGAATCACTTCCACTTTATTAGTTAATAGAGAGCTTCTGCAGCCTTCTAGTGAGTAAAAGACAATAAGAAGAGAGGTCAAGTTGGGTGTGGTTCATCTTGCCGAGCAGGTCTCTCGAGAGAGGTAGAGGCAGCCCTGTCAAGAAGCTGGGTTCCGAGCCAGCCAGAGCCCACAGTGAGCTCTATCTCAACAATCAGAAAAGAAGACAGAGAAGAAAGGTTGATAATCAACCATCTCGCTCAGATCCCAAACAAAGCCTTGTGTGTGGTACTCTGCTTTTCCTCCGTTAGGAGGGAAGCCCCACTGTTGGCCTTCTTGTGTTGGCCTTTTTATCAACTCTCCCCTTACCCGGCATTAACACACGTTCTTCAGTGTTTGTCCAGGAGGCCCAGAAAGCTAACATATCTTCTGTTACTTAGCTTGGTCTTAGCTGTTCTTGTGGTTTCACTGTGTGAAGCCTCAAAGGATCTACTGCATTTCAGGAAAGTTAAGCACATGGTGGAAAGTACCCTTCTGTATCATGAGGCAGTGGTTTAGTCTACACATCCCCAAAACCCTACAACAGAGCTGGGTGCAGACCTCATTTGTGAAATGAGTGTGTGATCACTAAAGTCCTCACCTGTCCCCAAAACAAGAGCTTCTAGTAACTTTCCTGTGCTTGTTTTGTGTTTCTCAAATGGGCTCAGCATGCAAATATGTCCTAAAGGAGACTTAATTATTAAATGTAAACCCTGAGATAGTACTTTTTACAATTAACACACACACACACACACACACACACACACACACACACACGGTCAACACTCATCCTTTTCCCAGGTGAGCTACATCTGCCACTGCATCTCCCAGCCCAGTTTCCTCACCAAGAAAGGGTTTATACTAATAAATAATTCATATTGGAGCTTAAGATTCCTGGAAGGCCTGGCAGACTTTCATCTTGGAAAAGGTGCCATAAAATATTGCCAGTGGCCAACCTCAGGTTTCCAGATTGGGTATAAATCCTTCTTGCTGAGTGTGTGAGTTTGTAATGTAAACTGTTTTCAATTATACCTGGAACTGTTGAGCTGAAGGATGGCCACACACATCTGAAACTAAATGATGAGAATTACTGTTTCAGTGGGCTATGAATACATTATACTTAGGCAAGTGACAACTGTGTTGTTTTAGACCCAACAGAGAGGAGACTGGCCATGTGAGTGCTTCAGGCGCCTCTGTTGTCAAGCATGGACTCAATCCAGAGAAGGGCTTCATGCAGGTTCATTACTTAAAGGTAAGTGTGCCTGACAACTGCAGCCATTTGTTACAGAGCAGCACTCCTGACACCATATAGCTGAACAAGAAGAATAACACGGTTGAGGCAAAGAACCTCAGCACCTCAGTGGGTGCAGAGTGAGTACTCATAGTGGAATACACTAAAAGCCTCTAAATAAGGCCATTTTCAGAAGGACTCAGGCTGAGGAAGCCTGCAAACGAGTGGAGACTAGAACAAAAGGCATCCTGGATCTGACATGAAGGATCTGGGCCTCTCCTCCCTTGTAGAGTCCAAGAGGTGCTGATGACATTCACAGGCCTGCCTTTCCCTGCTCTGAAAATGGAAGGCATTTGGGCCCGAGAAGACAGCGTTGTGGACATGCTGGCACCTGGACCTAGCGTCTCTGAGCAACTGTGTTGACCCTGATGCCATCTTGTTGTCTTCTTTTTTCTCCCAGGGCTACTTCCTCCTTCGCTTCCTAGCCAGAACACTTGGAGAAGAAACTTATTTTTCATTTTTAAGAAAATTTGTGCACCTGTTTCATGGACAGTTGATTCTTTCCCAGGTAATTCATGGGATCCTGGTGGACTCACAGAACCACTGGAAGGGCTGCAGCACGTGGGGATTAGATTATGCCAGATCTGGAAGGTAAAAAATTACTGTTACATTTACTTGGAGAAAGACACTAGTGATGTGGACTTGAAGGATGTGTGTCCGGGGAGTGTGAGCTCCTGGTACTACAGGGACCTGCTGTAGCTTCAGGTTGTTCACCACCATACAAACAGGTGTATACTGAGTGACCTTATCAAACCAGACAGTCCTGCTGCAGACATCTGTACAAAATAGTCTCCTTCCCACGCAACAGCCTCAGAATCACCCTGGCCAGTAGCAGCTCAGAGCGTTTGCTATGCAAGCATGAAAACTAGAGTTCAATTCCCTGCACCCACACAGCAATCCCTGGGGCCACAGAGATAGGGGAATCGCTGGGACCTACTGGCTACATTACAGCAGAGGAGAACAAGACCCAAGTTCAAGAAGAAATGCTGCCTCCGCAGAACAAGGATAATAGTGTTAAGAGGACACCAAACATTATGGCCTCCACAAATACAGATATGTTCACTTACACACATGTGCATATAACGCACATACACACACACACACACACACACACACACACACACACACACCTACATACACCCTGAAACAAATAATGCTCAAAACAGCAACAACAACCAAAAAAAAAAAAAAGACAAAAACCCTTGAGTCAATGGTTTTGCCATTTCATTTTGTTGAATTTCATTCTTTCACTGCATGTGTGTGTGAGTATGTGTGTGTGTTTAGGTCAGAGAATAACATGTTCTCTCCTTTTCTATTGTGGGCCTCAAGATTGAACTTAGGTCATCAGGCTTAGCACCAAATGCCATGACCTACTACTGAGCCAGCTTAGGACCTGCATACCTTTTGAAATTTTACATTTTGCTCAAGTGTTATGGTAAATATCAAGAGAATAAAACTTAGCATTGTCATGTCCAGCTTGGTGGGGTCAAGCATGGCAGCAAGCATGTATCTTTGGAACATTTTCTCTTTCTGCCCTGGCTCTTTACATGGCTGCTGGAGATCTGAACACAGGTCCTTGTGCTTACCTGGCATGTGCTAAAACTTTGATCAAAATTTCTGAAACCCCCTTCAGGATCAACTGCTTTTACATTCTCACTGATTTCCCTGTGTACTTGTCAACTTCTGTTGCTTTCTGCTTGCTCTTGTTTTATTTTGCTTTGTTAGCTCTTTTGAAACAGGTGTTATTCTATAGTCCAGGCTAGCCTTGACTCTTTCTAATCCCTCTGCCTCCTAAATGCTGAAATTATAAGTGCACACCACCATACCTGGCTTGTATGGACTTTTAAGATTTCATTTACCCAAGTGTAGTGAAAAAGGAAACTAAAGTGAACATTCTGAGTTCATGGTAGTGTGAGCACGCACTTTTGCTAGATAATGCTGTTAAGAAGCATCGCTGCAGACACACTGCTTCCAAGTGTGATTTCCCACCACATTTGTCCCTGGAGAAGAGGAAGTGCACTGCTGTGATTCCCTGAGTTTCAGTGTAGCTGGTTACAAAGCCAGTTCCAGGCTAGCAGAGGACGGACTGAGACCCGTCTCCAAAAGGCAAAAACAGAAGCTAAAAATGTTTTGTAAAGAAGAGGGAATAGGAAGTTGTTTGCTGCCGTTACCCACCCCCACCCAGGTCTCACACTTGTAGTCGTTGCTCTTACGCTGTTAAGGTTTGCTTTGCCAGCATAAAAGATTTTAGTATTCGCCACCACTTAACCATGCTTCTACATTTATGAATATTTTATTTTGATCCAGCTCTTTGTTGGCTCAATTTCCTATCAAATTGATGTTCAAGTTGCAGCTTCCCAGGCTGTGTGGTTTCTTCCTGTTTGGGAATGCATGCCTCTTATCCGTGTGTAGATCACAAAATAGTTAGGTTTAAATCTTTCTGGGCCACATAGTCATTCTCAGAGCTTGATAGACATTGCTCATCTGCCTTCTAGCATTACTTCCCACTGTGCAACCTTTGGAAGTGGCCTGTTTACATCACTTAGGTGGCAGAAGAAGTCTTTATACTTTTTAAATTTTATTTATTTCTATTTTATGTGTACTGGTGCTTGGCCTCCATGTATGTCTGTGTGAGGGTGTCAGGTTCCCTGGAACTGGAGTTACAGATGGCTGTGAACAGACATGTGGGTGCTGGGAATTGAACCTGGGTTCTTTCTAAGAAGTCAGTGCTCTTAACCTCTGAGCCATCTCTCTGGCCCTAGAAAGTTTTATCTTGAACTCAGTGATAACTGAAAAAATGAGTGGGTATGCATGGTTCTTTATAAGAGGAGAAAGAGAGAGGCAAAGAGACAGACAGAGGGAGGGAGGGAGAGGGAGAGGGAACAGGAGAAGAAGAGGGAGCATGCTTTGGTACAAATGTGGAGTTCGGAGGCCTGTTATAGGAGTCTGTTCTGTCTTCTACCATGTATTAAGCTTGGTTCCTAAGGCTTGTCAGCAAGCCTCTTCTGCTGAGCATCTCACTGCGTCATATCTTCTCTCTGGAAAACACTGTACTTTTTAGTCTTGGATTCTGTTCTTCAGTACAGTTGTTTTAAGTATCTTTTGGCTTTTGTGTGTATGTGTGTGTATGTGTGTGTGTGTTTCGAGACAAGGATCTTGCTTTATAGTTAGCCTGGCTTTGAATTGGTGATCCTCCTGCCTCAGCCTCCTCAGTACAATAAGTAACAGGCCTGCATCACCATGCTTGCCTTTAACTACAGCTGTGGTCACATTCTTTTCCCCTTGTAAGATGCTGAGTTTCCAGGTTGAAGCTACCCTGTTACATCTTCTTTGTCTGTTGTGCATACATTATGAGATAATCGCTTTAGCCTGTTTTTCTTTGAAGCATCTCTTTATTATTAAATAGTACTTTCCCTCCACCTTTCTTTTTCTTTTTCTTTTTCTTTTGAAACAGTCTCGGGCCAGGCTGTCCTCAAATTTGTAATGTGTCTGTGACAACCTTGAACTCCCAGTCTGCCTCCACCTCACAAGGGCTGTAATTGCAGGCATGCATCACTACACCTGGTTATGGGTCCACGTTAAGCAAGCACTCAGCAACCAAACTGCGCTGTCAGCACTTGGTGCCATTTCCTTACTGTACTTTGTTTGCTTTTTAAAAAATCAATGTTCTTGAAATGTGTCATCCTGGTCCTTAGTTTCCTTTCCTAGAATTAGAGTCTTTTTTCTTTTCACTTTATATTTCTGTCATCTTTAGCCTTGCTAATTTTTTTGTTCTCATTTTTTTATCATTGTTTCCAATTTTTTTTTCTTAGTGTAAAACACTTGTAAAAAAATTGTCCTCTGCTTCTTGGTTATGTTTTCTTCAAGACTGAGTTCTTTATCTTTTAGCTCTCTCTGCTCCTCAGCTCATGTGGGTGTGCGCATTTTCATGGTGGCCTTACTCTAAGCCTGGATAGCCCAGCCCTGGCCTTTGATTTATTCTCGTGTGTGCTGGAGCGTTATCTCTGTTCCCTTCCCAACTCCCCATAGGCTTGTTTTTCAACCCCTGTATAGTCTGACAGGTGCAGTGGGCGTAGAGCTGGAGCAGTTGCATGCAGCATTTGTTGGAAGACTTTGCCTACCCTACTCTTAAAGTGTTGCTAACTGCCCCTCATCACCAGTGTACGTGTGGTCTGTCCATTGCTTCTCACATCAGAATGGCACCTGGGCACCTCTGCCGGTGTTCACAGCTGCTTGGCGGCTTATTTCTTATATTTGTGCATGTCTCCAGGCACTCCATAGCTGGGAAAGAGGAAAGGTAAATCCCCATCTCTTTCCAAATATATAGGTTCTTCAGAATTTGTGGGATTTGGGAAATTCACTTGCACCCCAACTTCTAAGCCTGAGAGTTGGGAAGGTACAGTGTGCCAGCTAGAAGTGGCCTAATATGTTCTTTCCCTGGTTTCTCTCTTTGAAGTTCATGCCAAGAGGCTGTCTCTCTATCCCTATTTGGAAGCATGCTTTTGCTTTTATTATTATTAACATAATTTATATGAATTATGTGAACTGTGTTGTTTTGTTTTGTTTTTTCACCCTTTTGCTCAGCTTTGTCCTGCCTGTCATCCTTTGGACTCCTGCTGTTCAGTATCTCAGCATTTGCTAGTTTGCCAGCCCCTCCTATTGTCTCTTTCCAAGATCCCAGTGACCCTCCCCTGCAGGCTTACATCTTAGTCCCATTGGGACCCCTGCTATTGTCAGGGGCTCCCCTTGCCCAACTATAATGTCTAACTTCTTCCCCAGAACTCAGAATGGAGCAGAGGAGATGGTGAGGGAAGACAGCTTCCGGAGGGCATACTTCCTTCTGTCACAGCAGACAGTGACTTGGGAAGGACTACTGTCCTAAGTCTACAAGAGGAAGCAGAAAAGCTAGTGCCATGTGGTTAGATTTGGGTCTCTAAAAGAAGGAAGAGGAACCAACTGAGTCAGTTCTGGACATAGATGCTTTAGAGACTTCAGGTGAGAAACAAGTGTCTCAAATGGGGTAGAGCACAGAGCATAGGAAGCACGTTGCAAGTCTTAGGGGACATCTTGGAGATGCCCAGTATGTTTTGTCTGTGTGATCTTTGGCAGTGGTTGCAGCCTTCAGCTAGCTGCAAGCTTAGATTGGAGCCAGGAATTGGCAGAAGCTCCAGAATGGCAACCTACTAGGAGGCAGGACACCATTCTTACAGTAATAAAGGAGGAAGAGGTTTTCACAGGGGCGGTGTTGATTACCCTGTGTCTACCCAGAATTCCAGATTCTTGTGCTTATAACCAGCTCAGCCTGAAAATGTGAAAGGGTAGAATTAAGGTTAACTCTGAATTTCCTGCTTCTCAAACAATTAAATTCTTCCCCCTTGCTATTAAGTTAATGTTATCTCCCCTTGCCCCACATAATTAAGCAAAAATTACTAGAACAATAGGAGATAAGTTTGTAGGTAATATACAGACATAATGGGGTGAAATTAATAAGAAGTTATAATTAGAGTTATAATTACATAATTATAGTTCTTGGATTTTTAAGAATCAAAATCTTGTCAATAAGTTAATGATTCACTAATATAGTGACTTACAAAGGATCTATTAATTAGATCATGATTACTAATGCAACAGTTTACAAAAAAATTTTTTTTAATAATAGGTGAATACACTATTACTAACCTATTTATTTCCTTCATCCCAGTAATATCTTTTACTTTTTTTTGAGACAGGGTTTCTCTGTGTTGCTTTGGCTGTCCTGGACTTGCTCTGTAAACCAGGCTGGCCTGAACTCACAGCGCCTGCCTCTGCCTCCCTGAGTGCTGGGATCACAGGTGTGCGCCACCGTGCCTGACTAGTCCCAGTAATTTTTAAAATAATAAAAATAAATAAAAAATGACTTTCAGACCCTCAATCCAAGGCTCAGTGGGTGTAAAGTGCTTGCTGTGCCTGTCTCCAGAATCCATTTTTAAAGCCAGGTGTGTTGGCATGTCCTGTAACCACCCCACGCCTCAGTGGGAGGAGGTGGTTCTGGGAGATTTCTGACCAGCCAGCCTATCCTAGTAGATAATACTAGGCCAAGTGAGGGATGTACTCTCAGCAAAAGTGAACACTGCTGAAGAATGGCATCCCAGGCTGTCTCCTGGTCTCCACATGCACACGTGTACAACCCTCCCCTCACACAAAAGAACCTCAAGGGATGTAATTCCTCATTTTCTAAGTACTAGTATTCTTTTTCTTGAGCAGGTTTTTCTGTATGTCCTCTGTAGGTACATTTGTGAGGCAGTAAACTATCTGGGCTGCCACCTCCAACACCATTTCTCTACATCCATTCTCAGTTTTTTGTTTTTGAACACTTGGTCTCCAAGTGATAGCAATGTTTAGGCTTTAGGGCATGGCCATTAGAAGTAGGCTCCTGGCAGGAATGGGCTTTGCATACCATATGGATTCTGGCTCCAGCCCCGGCTTCCTGCCTCCTCCTCAGTAGCATAAGAACAGCCACCACTGTGGGAGCCTCTCCATCTCCCATGTCAGAATAGGCTCAGAAATTACAAGCCAAATAAGCCTCTCCTCCTTTTCATGTCTGTGTCAGGGATTTTAGTCACAATGATGTGAGAGAAATCTTTCATTAGCTCTTTTATTGAGGAACCTTCACCTCTGGAAAGGTAGCCCACCCATAGGCCCACAGAGTGGTGCTGGCTGGCTTTGCTCATCAGTGATGTTAGTCTCAGTGTGATGATGGAAGAGGAGCACTTGCCATGCTCACTGCTGTGCAGGCCACTTGCCATCTGCAGTCACATCCCCTGTGTCACAAAGCTTGATCTGGGCTGCTCCTCCCATCCCTTTCCTGATGGTGTGTGCTCACCTGGACTCTCATCTGAAGACCACCTTTTAATTTTTTTAATGTATTTATTTTTGTGAATTTTATATGTGAGTACTGTGCTTCTTTTAAAAATAGGGATTCACATGGCTGACCTCAATTTCTAATTGATCCTCCTACCTCAGCCTCCTGAGTACTAGGGTCGCAGTCATGTGTCATCATGTCTGTCCTAGTAGTTTATTTTCTCTTCAAGGATGGCCAGGTGTTGTAGCTCACATCTCTATGCTGTCCCAGGCACTAGGAGGCTGGATGGGCTATCTCAAAACTAAAAATGACTGTATAAGCTTACAAACACACACACACACACACACACACACACAATGTACTCATTACTTCATTAAAAGAAAATTATGTACTGTTAACATAACAAAAGATTCTATGCTTTAAAAAAAAAAAGCAAAAGGTAAAAACAAGCATAAATCCCTCCATCTGCTATTCAGATGGTGAGAAGCTGACACTGGAGTCCACAGTTATCCTGTTAAGTCTTACCTTTAAATAAACAACCATTTTTAGTGTATTTATCCTCCCAGTTTAACTGAAGATCCTATATCTGATAACACTAGTTAAGACCCAGTGATGATCACAGAATTAGTTGACTTGAAAAGGTGGCCACAATAAAAGTATAAGTTAAATACAAATGAGCATTCATATTTGAACTTTTAGGTCAATGATATTGCGGTTATTCTTGACAGAGTCCTTTTATCTTAGAGAAGTTTACAAAAGCATTTATGATAACATGATATTTGGGATTTTTTAGTAGTTCAGAAGGCATGAAAGATGACTATGGCAAGGCAGGTTAGTATAGTAATTAGAATACGGTGGTTAATTGCTTTTTATTTGAAAGTTTTCACAATAAAAGAAAGTGACTTGGGGAAAGGCATAAGTCATGTCTTGCTGCTTTCATGCAAACACCTGAGATGTCCTGTGACCACATGGACACAGTGGAAGAGAACGAACTATGACTTCCTGGCTGAGGCTGTCTCTGTCCCTCAGCTGGTTTTTGTCGTATTGAGTTTGGCTTCTTTTTGGAGCACTACAGGTCTGTTGCCAGTTAGGTATGGGCCTATAGGAGTTGCAGTTGCTCAGTCCAGCCTGAGGGCTTGGGAAAGTGAAGGGGCAATTCTTTTACTATCAAACCCTAAGTACATTAAGCAGTTGATGCCTGGTTGCTGGCACAGTTGAGCAGTTATTTACTGGTAGATAGCCTTAATGCTTTCTTCTTATTTCAGGAATTCCTTCAAATGCTGTTGGAAAGCATTCCAGAAGACAAAAGGTAAGGATCAGCATAGGATTTAAGAGCCCCATTTCACTTTTAATGTTGAAATGATCCTACCATTGTTTGACCTGTTGTTACACCCTTGATAGTTGAGATTCCCTCTCTGCATAAAGGAACCTAGTGCAGCTGCTAGAGTCACAGCTAAATGAGAACATAGTTTGGGGATAGGGCAGCATGCATAGGCCAGGCCCAAAGATGTAGAACAAGAAGCCAGCTGAGGGCACTCTGAGGCTTCAGCTGCAGTGGCTAAGAATGGGGGAGAGGGCTGGGGAGGGCTCAGTAATAGAGTGTTTGCCTGTCGTGAGAAGGCCTGGGGCAGCTACCCTAGACCACCTATTTATTAAAAAATAAGTAGGTAAATAAAATAACAGAGACAAACAGGTTAGGGTGGCTCCAGTCAATGTGGTTTTATGGAGGACACACTGTTTAACTGAGGCAGAGAGGCTCAGTAAGAGCCAGGAGGGTGGCTAGCTTTGCTGCCCTCTTTCCTAGTCATTACTCTGACAAAACACCCAACAAAAGGTGGGACTTGGGAGAGTGGATTTATTTTAGCTCACAATTCTGGGTTATAGTCTATCATGTGGCAAAGTCACAGCAGGACGAAGTCACAGCAAAGACAGCAGGAGCTTCAAGCAGCCAGTCACACCTCACTCACAGTCAAGGGCAGAGAGAATGATGCTTAATATCCAGCTAGCCTTTTCTACCCAGCTGAGGACCCAAAACCAGGTAATGCTGCTCTCACTTTCAGACCAGGTTGTCCCACATCAATCAAGGCAGTCAAGACAGTCTCCTGTAGTCACACCCACAGGCCAACCTGATTTAGACATTTACTCATTGAGAATGTCTCCCTAAGTGATTCTAGGCCGTGTTGAGTTTATAATTAAAACTAACCATCGTACCTTTTAATTTTAAAACCTGTAGACAGTATTTTAGTAAGTGTTAAAAAGCTGACATCTGTGTTTAAACTAGGTGCTCAGTAAATGGTTAGTGTGTTCATTCAAACAACCAACTCCTTTGCACAGCACTACACACAGGATCTAGGTACAGCAGCAGCCCTGACTTTAATGTTCTCATAATCACCATCTGGGAGGTTAGTAGAAAACAACATTGATTATGATGGCACTCAGTCCTTGAGATGACACTCTCACTTAGGGATACTCTTATATATGGCAAGCTAGGCTCAAACTCGCTATGTAAGTGAGGCTGGCCTTGAACTTCTGAACCTCCTGCCTCTGCCTCTTAAGCACTGGGATTACAGATGTGTGTGTCACCACTACTAATTTATGTGATGCCAAGAATTAAAGGCAAGCACTCACCCAACTGAACAGCAGCCTGGGTGAACAGCACTTTTTGGCATATGATCTTTTTATCCCTGTTTGACCAAGAAGACAGTCACCAGTCTGTACCTTGGAACTCTATGTGGCAGTCTGGCTCCAGAGTTGGGGAAGCTGAGGTTTCAGAAGTTAAATAGTGTTTCCCATAGTGTATGAGGGAGCCCACAGAAACTGGCTACAGCCTGTGATTTCATCTCCATGCTCACAGCAAGCTTCCTGTAAAGGAAGGACACTCCCATGGTTTTTAGAGTAAGCCAAAGGCTCTGTTGCAGATGCAGATTCCTCTGAGGCCCTATCTTAACTCCTAGATGAAAATGCCCAAAAGCATAATTTCTGATAGCAAAACTGACATTCAGACATTAAAGGGGGACTTCTTGGACAACTTTTTTTTCTTTTTTTTTTTTTTTTCTGAGATTCCTGCAAAGCTGGCATGTTGATGGGCCTGTCTGATAGGTATAAACTATCAAGGGTGACACATATGCCACCAGGCTAGGTACAGAAGATGACATGCTCTGAGAATGTGGAGGCTACATTTTGGATTTCCCCTGGACTACCTTATGGAAACCTCTCAAACTCCCCTCTTCTCTCAGCATCTGGAAGCCTTGCTGTTAGTCCTGGTTTTGTTGTAGTCTTTCTTTCCAGTACAGGGCTCACACCTGTTGACCAAGCACTCTGACACTGGACTAAGCCCTGGCTTATTTCTGGATGTGTGCATACAGCAAGGTGCATATGTAGCCAGAGAGCAACTTTGTGAGTGCATTCTCTCCATCCACCTTTAGCATAAACTCTAGGGATTGAACTCATATCATCGGGCTTACACAGAAAGCACCTTTACCCATGAAGTCATTCTATTGAACAAAAGCTATTCTTGTTTAATAAGGCAGAAACCTCAAGCCAGTCCATGTATAAATGACTTGATAGATTCATTGATTCCTGCCCTTCTGTGCTCATTCACCAGCCTGGCCTGCAGCTTCAGTGACTGAGCAAGACAGTGAGCTTTCAGGAGGCCACACTAAGGAACAGCTTTGTGTGGACGGCCTTACATCTTTTCAGATTTAGCATCATGGTTGTTTTTGTTTGTTTGTTTGTTTTTGTTTTTTAAGCAGACATATTGTCTTAGAGTTATCATTGCTATGATGAAGCACTATGACCAAAGCAACTTGGGAAAGAAAGGATTTTATTTGACGTATACCTCCACATTGCTGTTCATTATTGAAGGAAGTCAGGGCAGGAACTCAAACAGGGCAGGAGCTGGTGAAGAGGCCACAGAGGAGTGCTTGCTCAGCCTGCTTTTTAGTAGAACCACTCGGGTTCACCAACCCAGGGGTGACACCATCCACAGTGCACTGGGTCCTCCCCCATCAGTCACTAAGAAAATGCCTTACATGTCTTACCTGGTTGCCTGCTATTACTGGATGGTTTTGTGTGTCAACTTGACACAAGCTAGAGTCATCAGAGAGGAAGGAACCTCGGTTGAGGAAATGCCTAAATGAGATACAGCTATATAACATTTTCTCAAGTAGTGATCAATGAAGAGACCTAAGCCATGCTAGGTGGTGCCATCCCTGGGCTGGTGGTCCTGGATTCTATAAGAAAGCAGGCTGAGTAAGCCAGGGGAAGCAAGCCAGTAAGCAGCACCCCCACACACACACACATGGGCTCTGCATCAGGTCCTGCTTCCAGGTCCCTGCTCTGTTTAAGTTCCTGTCCTGACTTCCTTTTATGATGAACAGCCATGTGCAAGAGTAAGCCAAGTAAACCCTTCCCTCCTTAACTTGCTTTTTAGTCATGGGGTTTTCTCACAGCAATAGGAATTCAGACTAAGACACCTGCAGTCCGATCTCATGGAAGCAGTTTCTTAATTGAAGTTTCCTCTTCTCAGATGACTCCAGATTCTGTCACATTGACATAAAACTAGCCAGCACTGGTGGCAGTTATTCTGCAAAAATGATATCAGATGTGGCAAATTTATTATTCAGAAGTAAATCTAAAAGGAATTCACATTTCCCCCTTTCCCTGCTCAGTAAAGCCTCACACATGCTAGGCATGTGCCTGACTGCTATACTGTTGTGCCAGTAATTTTCATTTGTTTTATACATGGCCCTGGGACTCTGATAAAGTAAGAGTCCCTTCTTTAGGACTTAGAGCAGAGATAAATAGGGGAGGAGGGAGGGAAAAAGGGAAGAAATTAATTTATAGATGTGGTGTATGGTCTCTTCTGTTGGTTATAAATGTCTCTTCTGACTACTGACTGCATTCCTTCAGGACAAAGTTCTTAGGGCAGAAACACAGCAGTTATTTCTGAGGCAGTACAGTACACTTTAGTTGGAGGTCTGTCTTACTTTTAATCTCCATGGTGCAGTATGGAGTTCATTTGGATGCCCTGAGCCCTCTGGCTCTGTAGACCTGGATTTTATTGTTGTGGATATTTACTGAGGCGACACACTGGGCCCACAAAGAGGCTTTTGTCGCAGTGGTGGAGATGACACAGTGTCCAGGCCCTGTGAGGCTGCCAACCACCCGCTGCATCCCTGTGATGGGCACCTTTCCCAGTGGGACCATGCTTTGCCTAGCAGGCTTGAGTCTCATTAAGAATGCTCCTTAAATGTTAAAGTGATCTTTTGCCTACAGCAAACCTACTTCACCAAGTATATTGGAGTACATTTTCAAACTTAAACAACATCTTGCCTGCTAACTAATCTCAAAATCTAGTTTGCATTCATATTCAAACAGCTGGTTTGCTGTATTACCTCTGCAGCATATTGTGCTAATTTTATGTAGGCCTCCAAAGACTGCACATCTACCCCCTGGAGCCTCTAATCTTTGGCCCCAGTTGCAAATGGATCCTTTGGTGCATCTGTTAGGCACTTGAGCCATGCTGAGAGGGCAAGGCTCTGGCAATCACACTGAGTGGCTAGTGCTGCCTCTGTGCTTTTGTCTTACCTCGATTTACTAACATTCTCTGTGGATCATCTTCTGTAGCAGTCTGGACTATGGGAGACAGGGAAGAATAAATCTAATGCCAGCCTTCAAAGAGATCCTAGTCAACTACCAAAATCATGCATCATATAATCACCAGCACAGAACATTAGAATCTGTATGAAGGTAAGGTTCTGGGTCCTGGGGGCATGGACAGCAGACTCATCAGCCCTCAACCTGAAGAGAGACCTGAAGGCAGAACCTACTGCAGCCTTGTGAAGCGTCTCTTGTGAGGTGCTGTGGGGGTAGTGAAGAGGAATGGAAGGACTAGAAGCTGGGAGATCCAGTAAGCCAGGAGAGCCATTAAAGAGCACTAGAGTATTTGAGTCTATTGGTCTTGAGAACTGGAATTATTTCAGTGATGGGTACAGTGGCATGGTCTTTGAAGCAATGAACAGAGCTGTGGGTTGTTTGAGAGGTGCCCCAGTTACAAATGGGTGAGTTGTGAAGGAATCAGATGTGAGCCTGAGTTTTCTTTCTTGTCCAGTGAGCTACATTCTGAAGTACAATGGGCAGCTTCTTGTCCCTGGAGTCAGTATAGAGGGGAAGGAGATAGGGACAAGGTAAAGTGGTCAGAAGGCCATCCAGAGGGACCCATGGCACCATCCTCTCACTGCCTCTCACACCCATGTCCACCATACCTCTTCTCCCCCAGGTAATAGCTGGTACATCAGCCTTGACCCT